TATATATGTATATATCTTATATATATATATATGTATATATATATATATATATATATATATATATATGTATATATATATATGTATATATATATATATATATATATTATATATATATATGTATATATATTATATATATATATAATATATATATATATATATATTATATATAATATATTATATATATATATATATATACATATGTATTTATGCTAATGTGTATATATGTATGTATGATATACATATGTGCATTTACAAAAGCATTTTGCAAAATGGAATATAAATTTTGGATGCGAGGAGAGCATCTTATGTCATGTTTACCCCCTCTTATCTTCGATGTTTTGGGAGACAGGGTTTGTTTTGACAAGGTAGAGAAAGAGACTTGGGCGGCTGTCGGAGCTTTACTCTAGAGCCAGGAGACTGCTCGGTTGTCTTGTTGCATAGGTGCATAGTTTTGTTAACTGGTCTAGTGTGCATTACCTTCCAGAAGTTTAGGTGAAGAGGTAGCGGGAATAACTTGTACTGCTTGATATCTTGTCGTGTTTGCGAGATATATATATGTATTGATTAGTCTGTGTCACAGGCTTTCCTTGGTAGTAAGTTTGGATTCGAACTTGTAGTATTTGTTTCATGGGGTTCAGCAGCGTATTGGTGAAATGGAGGGAGGAAAATGGTTAGAGAGGTATTTCTGATAAAACAACTTTAACGCAATAACCATTTTTTGTCAGAAAGCCTCTCAGTTTATTGATTTGTTTATATATTTGAGCAAGATTCCTTTGGGAGTTTTTATAGTGAATCTTATATACATTCAGATGGTTATTACATATTCTTTTTCTTTTTTAAACTTGATTTTCATTCTTAAGAAAAATGGAAAAAAAAAAATAGATTTTATGAATATGAAATGAGTTGACAATATATTTATGCATGCATACCCAGAAAGGATGAATCTTTAACAACTGGGTATCTACATAAACCTACAGGAAATAATTAAAAGAAAGAAAGAAAAAATCATGTTAAGTTAATATGTTTCATAAAAAAAAAATGTAATGTTCATATTACTTTTTATTTGACTAATGATCAGATTGCTTTCATTTACAGCAACATGGACATGCAGTATACATTGATACGAGAATTGAAACCGGGGATGAAGAACCTCAAGCTGTTGTTTATAGTTTTAGAGATAGGTAAGACTTTTAAAAAAATACTGTCTTTAGAAGTATTAAGCTGTTATATATTTGCTGTTATTATTATTATTATTATTATTATTATTGATATTATTTTTATTGATATTATTGTTATTATCATCATCGTCATCATTAGTGCTGGTATTATTATTATTATAAGGATTTTTCTTACAATTATCATCGTTATATTGTTATGATTATTATCATCATAATTATTATCATTGTAATTATTATCATTACTATTGTTATAATTATCATCACTATTATTATTATAATTATCATTATAATTATTATCAATATTATTATAACCATTATCATTACTATTATTATTATTGTCATTATTATTATATTTTTTCATATTTTTGTCATTCCAGTTATTATTATTGTTATTGCATTTTGTTATTCTATTTCTGCCATTTGTTGATAAATTGAATTCACAATGATACAGCATGTATTTTTAATGAATATGAATTAAAGTTGTCATTATTATTAACATAGTAAAGAATTTTCATGATTTTGAAGCTATGAGATTTTCATTCATGCCATGTTCATTCAGTCATTCTCCCATGATGCTCAGTATATCTGTTTTAATAAATTACTTAAATATCACTGATAGAGTAAAAAGTTTTCTGGCAAAAGCAATGAGCTTCTAAGGATTTCATATCTCAACAATACTGGGGATTTACCACTGGACCCCGCACAATGTTCTCTACTAATCTTTCAAAGTTTTTGGGTGTTTCAAGGTGTTTTGGATTTGTTTTGGACTTTGGATGCAAATGTTTGCCTTAACATGCATATCAGTTTATGAAGATATTGATAACTGATTGACGTGTTGTTAGCCAATAGATATGGGCAAAGATATGTCCATATTTGTAATTCTTGCTTGATATGATAGATGTACATGCTGCTTGTTCTTCTCCAGGACGTCCAAATGTAACCAAAGAGAACCATGAAGTCCGTTCGTGTAAAGTCGCAGACAAAACTGGTTGCATTAACATCTCCGTGTGGGACGAACCTGGCCAACTTCTGCAGGTAAGCTTTCAGTAGATGAGATTTGAAGGAGAGTTCAGGATTTGAGCTTTTCATTTGATTTTGTTTTATTTTTTTATTCATGTTTTTTATTTAGTTGAATAGTTGCTTTTGGTAGTGGTGTTTCCATGATCATATAAAGTTTTTAAATTTTCTCTTCATATTATAGTGACATAGTTGTTCTGACTTTCTCAAGGTCTTGAGCAGTCATCACTTTGGATTTTTTGCACTATTAGCCCATTGTTCATGGATGTCATGACACACATGTTGACTGTAATTTTATTAATTGTATTTGCACACAGGTGGCTCCACAAAGGCTCAGTCTCCAAGGATTTGGTTATTGTTCCTACCTATCTCTCTCATTTACTCTAAATTGATTTTTGCAAAGATTTTTCATTTGTTAATCATTACTAGTATTTTGATAATATTATGATAATCAGTATGTCACTGATTGTAGTAACTTTATTTTTCTCTCTTTTTTTCTTTTTCTTGCCAAAGATTTGAGGACTTGGGAAATTAGGAGCAGTCATATAGGGCCTAGTGGTTGACTCCTCGGTGGCTGAGCCCTTGTGGAGCTAACTGTGTACAACAAAATTTAGATCTAGATCTAGATTTTTTTTTTTTTTCTTTTTAGTAAGATTTTCATTTGAAATGTTGAGTGTATATTTTTTTCTTTCTTTCTTTCTTTCAATAAATGTCAGGGATTATTTATTGCTAGACAGAATTGCAATTTGATTGGTGTTTAATTATCTTCCTTCTTGGAATATTTAGCAAAAATAAGAATAGAGCAATATCTCCAATTTGGGTTATGGTGATTTATATCTGTATCTTTATATATATCTATATATATATATATATATATATATATATATATATATATATATATATATATATATAAACAATACATATTATGATAATATATATTATATATATATATATATATATATATATATACCTATATTATATGATATATATCTATATATATATGTATATATATATATATATATTATATATATTAATATATATATAGGTATACATATATATATATATATTATATATATATATATATATATATATATATTATATATATATATATATATATATATATATATATATATATATATATATTAAATATAAATTATATATATATATATATGTATTATATATATATATATATATATATATATATATATATATGTATATATATATATATATACTATATATAATTATATATATATATATATTAATAATATA